CCCCAGGCAGGAGGCTTTATAGACCCTCAGCCCAGCCCGCGGACACGTGGCCTCATTCCGCCTACTTCATGCAGCTCTGTTCTTTCACCGCTGAGGTCTGTTTGCTGCTGCAGAACCATCCTCCCCTACGCTTCAGTTCTGAAAATGAAATGTCATCTTGTTCCCCTTGTCTGGAAATTTCTGGATGTCTTAGCATCCCAGTCCTTCAAGACTCCCCTTCAGAAAGACACAGAAATGGCCAAGACCAAACTACACCTTCACAAGGGCGCACTGGGAGAAGACTCTTGCAGCAAGTGCATGACGCTTATAATTACAGGACTTTGGACCTTTGCTCCAGGAAGTTGGGCTGGACCATCCAAGAGCTGGGAGGATGTTGTTTGCCTCATCCTAAGACTTAGATCAGGGTTTCTCAAATGAGGAAGATCTACAAGATCTTTCTGAGAAATTTTGGAAATTTGGCTTTTTATTTTAATGATAATATAAAAATAATTCTTAGCTTAAAAAAAAAAGACTCCCCCTCAGATAGAGGCTCTGCTTCATTTTTGCAGGGGTGTGAGGCCTGCCACTCTGGGCCTGCCGCGCCTGTGGCCCCTGCTGCACAAACACAGCCACTGCAGACACCTGCCTGCACCGCATCACCTTGCCACCTGGCCTCCGCTCACCACACCAGGTAGTGGACATTGCCCCAAAGCAGCCACCTATAGAACAGCCTGAGCAGGGGATGCTGACCCCAGCCCATGCCCAGCCTCAAACTAGGTCTCTACCCTTAAGAGTTTTCGGTGCTGGTGGGACTACAAATTAGTGCAACCTTTGTGGAAAAGAATTTGGAGATACCTCAAAGAGCTAGAAATAGAAATACCATTCGACCCTGCAATAGCATTGTTGGGCATCTACCCAAAAGAGCATAAAACATTCTATTAAAAAGACATCTGCACCCGAATGTTTATGGCAGCACAATTCACTATTGCACGGTCATGAAAACAACCCAAGTGCCCGTCAATTCATGAGTGGATAATTAAAATGTGGTATATGCTCACAATGGAATATTACTCAATCCTAAGAATTGACCGTGAGCTAGCACCGTTTATGCTATCCTGGATTAAGTTTAAGCCTGTTATCCAAAGCGAGACAACACAAGACATGGATAATGGGCCCCACATCTACTCGCCATCAAATTGGTACTGACTGATTAAAACTATGGTTTTCAAAGGGTGGCAATGCTCACCAGGGAATGGGGGGGGAGACCCAATCTTAGGGATGTGGCGAGCATTTTAGAGGGGGAGGGCATAACTCTAACCCTTCTTAGGGAGAGGCAAGGATATACAATGTAACCAAAATGTAAAAAAAAAAAAAAAACTTTTTATCGGGTGGTGGGCAGGCGGGAGGGGGGGGGGGGAAGGGGTGTATGCTTTCATAACGTGTGTGGTACACACCACCCGGGGATTGGACACACGGGGGGAGGGAGAGGAGCAGGAGCAATGTTTGTGACCCTAGCAATATTTGTACCTCCATAATATGATGAAATAAAAGGAAAAAAAAGAGTTTTCAATGCGATGCACAAAGAGAACCAACAGGTAGTCTAGCGCCACGGCCCACAGAAGCCACCAGGCGCCGCCGGCTTAGAAAGGAAGGAGAAGAGCGAGTCGGGAACAGCAGCAGAGGAGGGCCGGGGCAGACAGAGCTGGCCAGCCACAGTGGAGAGACATGAGCGGAGACAGTGCCAGTCCCACCCCACTGTCCGGGGAGAAGGACTGGTCGCCAGGGTAGCACCAGAACAATCTCCCAAGAGGTCCCCACCTCTCTTCCTTCTCTGGGTGTCCCTCCACTCAACCCCCACCACCTGTGCAACCTGCCTTGCTCTCTGCAATCTACTACCTGAAATAGCCCAAGTAAATCAGCAAGGATCCTCTCCAGGGACCAGGGTCCAAGGGTCCAACGCTGAGGCAAGATGCGGCCACCCCAACCCACTGTGCCCACCGAGCAGGGCAGCGGTGGCCGTCCCCAGCTCCCAGAAGCAGACAGGCCCCAGGACAGGAAGACCTGAGCTCTACAGCAGTCTGGGCCTCTTCGGGCACGTTATGCAGTTTTCCCTGTGGCTAATCTCCCTATCCATAGCTTAAATGACAGGCCCGCTCTGCACACCCACCGGGGTGCTGGGAGGATCGGCTGAGGCCTTGGCAGCAAACGTAGCTTGAAAGACCCGCAGCTGCCTACAAGAGGGAGGTAGCGTTGCGTTTGTGACAAATCGCTGGCCTCCCGGCGCCCACGCTGATGGCGTACTCTGAGCGTGTCCTCCACGCCCTGTTCCTCACTTCTGCCCTCCCGGCCCGGCCTGCACCCGCACCGCTGTGCTCGAGCCCCTCTGCTGCTGCTTCCTTTGGAAGTCGCCCTGCGCTACCAGTCCCACGCCTTGGTCTTGCTGTTCCTCTGTTCTTCCTCCTGGCAGAAGCTGAACTTTCCCTAGGAAAATCTGGTGTCCTTGGGCTCATCACCATGGCCCAGACAGCCGGCAGCCCCCCCGCCCAGTGGATCGCACAGGTGAACAGGTGGGATAGGCTCAACCTCACGAACTTGCACCACTTCGAGTCCATCAGATTGTCACCTTTCGCACCCTGGACTTCGTTGCTCCAAGGCGCTTGGATCAACAGGCACTCGGGCTCCCCTGACCTCACTGTCCTTCAGGGGGTCTGTGGCCAGGCACTAAACCACTGGCTCTCAAATTGAGGTCCCCAGCAGCAGCTGGGAACTTGTCAGAGATGCAAATTCTGGTGTCCCAGCCCAGACGCCCTGAATCAGACCCTCCAGCTCTCTGGGTTTAGCGAGCCCTTCAGGTGGTTCTGATGCACACTCAAGTTTGGGAGCTATAAACTGTCCTGTGTTATAAACTTTCCCGCCTCCGTGAATGCGCAACGTCCACCACGTGTCTCCCCAGACGGCAGCTGTCACCACGGCCCGGCTGATTCCCGTCACGGCAGCTCTAGATGCCCTCCTCTCTCCCTGAGCTCCTGTTCCCCTCACCGTCCCTTTCAGAGGTGACACAGTGTCCTCGGGGAGGCCGCCAGCGTGCACAGCACAGGCTCCGGGCGTGGCGTGGGAGGCTGGGCCTGCCGCTCGCGTGCCTGTGAGCTGGCGGCCGGGGGCACCGCACGTTGCTGCAGCACCGGCTCCGCCCGCCCGCCTGCCTCAGTCTCCGTCTCCAACACGACAGTGACAGTGGTGCATACGGTCCTAGGCTGTATACACAAAAGCAGTTTGTAAACTTTAAGCTTCACCAACCGAAGTGCGGCCCCTGCGCCAGCAGCACTGGCTTTCCCACCCAGGCCTCCTGAGTGAGGGTCTGCATTTCACAGGAGCCCCAGGGATGCATCTGCACTTGATGTCTGAGAAACGCTGATCAAAAGAACTTCATTGCCCCGGGTAGAGTGCCATGGGGTCCGCCTAGCTCACTGCGACCTCTGACTCCTGGGCTCAACAATCCTCGTGCCTCTGCCTCCCATGTAGGGGGAACTACAGGTGCGTGCCACCACGCCGGGCTGATTTTTCTATGTTTTGTAGAAAGGAGGGTCTCACTGCTGCCCAGGCCGTAGGACCAACATTTTCAAGGCTTCACGTCCGAATGGTGAGTCGGTTGTCTGAAGGAGCGGGGATCCCTCTGGGAAGTGGGACGGTGCTCATTTCTCCAGCCCCAAAGGGCCCAGGCACTCTCATGGGAACAACGTGAATGTCACTCTGGCAGGTGAAAGTGGAATCTAACGGTTGTGCCAATTTACATTTATTAAAACAAAACATGTTTCCAAGTGTAATTGCATGGAACTTGTCTTTCATTGACTTCTTCCTTCTTTGTGTCCCACTCCAAGGCCACATTGTTTCTTCTTTGATGGCGCCTCTTTCCTTTGTCCCTCCATCTCTGATGTCTCCAGCCCAGTCCGAGCCCACGTCACAGCTCCTCTGTTGTCCTGCCCAGCGTGTCTCTCTGGCCCTCGTCCTGCCCTGCTCCAGCCCTGCCTCTCCTGCTGCGACAGCCCTTCCCGCAGGCCCCTCCCTCCTTAAAAAGCTCAGAGGCTCCTGCTGCCGACAGATCGAGTCTTCCGCTAGCTTTCCAGGCTGTCCGCAGAGGACCCTCCCTGCCCGCCTAGCGTGCGCCCGTCCTCGCCTCCGTGGGCCTCCCTCCCTGCCTCCCCTGCCAGCGCGGCTGTCCCTTCACGCGCCGGACTTTGAGCTCCTCTCTCACTTTTTCCTAGTTATAAGGCTGGAGCTCTGCTACTCGTCTTCCTGCCACATGATAGAAGTTAGCCATTTGTACCTAAAAACCCCGTTTCCTTTAGAAACATGTTAAATGTTGACAGCCAAACCAGCTTGAACCAGAATAGAGATGAACCACAGTGCCAATGGGCCTTCCCCACACTCAGGGTTGGGAGGCATGATGCTTCTAGAAACAGCACATCACATAAAAGAGACCACAGCTCACAGAAGTCCCTGCTCTACCACCCACTAGGAGGAACTGGGGAAGGTTATCTAATGCTCTGAGCTTTCACTTCCTTGGTAACAAAAGGGGTTCTGGGATGAAGACAACGAGATGGAGTCGCAGGTTACTTACTGCAGATTAGCCCCTGATTTATTACAAATCTACGACATCCTGTGGAGGAATCAGGTCGGGTGGAGGGACAGGCTGGTCTGCAATGCAGGCCTGACCAAGCCTCAGCCAACCTGCTTGGACCTCTGGAGCGCATGTGGGCCATCAGAGTTGGCCCTGTGGGATCCCACCCCTGTGGGATGGCCAGGTCTCTATCCCCTGCCTGGGTCCATCGTCAATGCAGATGCCCGGGATGCACAGGGCATTGAGCAAGGGACTGACCTGCTCAGGGCAGCAGGGCAGCATGCCCTCACACTCACCACATGCTTGTAGAAGGAGGCGATAATAATTGGCCGGGTGCGGTGGCTCACGCCTATAATCCTAGCACTCTAGGAGACTGAGGCTGGAGGATCGCTTGAGCTCAGGAGTTTGAGACCAGCCTGAGCAAGAGCCAGATCCCATCCCTATTAAAATAGAAAAAAAAAATTAGCCGGGCATGGTGGCGCATGCCTGTAGTTCCAGCTACTCGGGAGGCTGAGGCAGGAGGATTGCTTGAGCCCAGGAGTTTGAGGTTGCTGTGAGCTAGGCTGACGCCACGGCACTCTACCCAGGGTGACAGAGTGAGACTGTCTGAAAAAGTAAAATAAAATAAAAAGGAGGAGGCGATAATAAACAGGACCTACCCTAGGTTGTCGCGATGAAATGAGCCAAGCATTTAGATGCAGCAAGTCAGGCACAGAGTGGCACTCGATACACGCTTGTTGTCACTGCTATTGTCATCACAGCTCAAGCAAGAGTGGAAGGAGGCGTTCTCCCCGTCTTTAATGCGTCCAGCTCACACTCGTGGAGCGCTTGCGCTGTGCCGGCGCGGCCGTAGGCGCAGGAGTGCTGCCCTGAGGCTCTAGCTGTCCGTCGATGGCCACGGCAGGCCTCGCCAGGAAGAGAAGGCCTGAGCTAAGGCCAGAGGCGGTGAGAAACAGGGGAGGCAGCCATGCAGCAGCCCGACAGAGAGCTCAGGCCTAGAACGTTCTAGGCCAGAGGGTCTCAACAGAGTGGGCCAGAGGGCGCGGGGCGGGGGGAGAGGCAGGGCGGTGACAAGCCCGCTTCCTGGTGGGGTGTGTGCCATACAAGCCAAACTCGGAACCCACCAAGCCCTCCGCCACCCTAAGGCACAGGGGCACAGTGACAGAGTGACCCGGGACAGAATCAGCAGAGGTCAGGCTGTGGGAGACTCTGTGGAGAACGGTCCAGCTCCTTCAACACGACCAAAACCTGCAGAATTGGAAGGAAAAAAGATAAAGAGGAACCTATCAATTAAGAAAGACTTGAGTGTGTCAATCGACCCCGCCATACAGACTGCATGTGGATCCTGATTCAAACAAGCAAACCGCCTTACAGTCAGCCATCATCATCACCTCACAACTGAGAAAATGTAAACAATGGCTGGATATTTTAAAATAATAAAGAATTACTACAAACAGTTTTTAGGCATCATAACAAAATTGGGTTTTGTTGTCTTTTTTTGGGGGGGTCCTTATATTTGAGAGAGAAATGCTGAAATCTTTATGGATGCAATGATATGATGTCTGAAACTTACTGCAGAAATAATCAGGGAGTGGCGGAAAGTAGGTCGGGGTGAGGATGAAAAAGACTGGCCCTATTTGACATCGGTTGAAGCTGTGATGGGTACATGAAAGTTTGTCATGCTAGTCACTCTGCTAGTGTTTCTTGCACGTCTGCAGTTTCTCAGGATAAAAAGTTGACAATGTGCGCACGGATCACTCTGAAGCATCATCTCAAACTCCCGCAGTTACCTAGCTGACTGGAATCCAGCCCAGGCCCCGCTGGAATCTCCCTTTCATCCTCAGACTCTCCCATTATCACTGAGAGGAATGCTGGTCCTCTCCAACGCCTAGAGCCAAAAGCAGGTTTTTCCGGGCCCACCTGACACCCCGGAGCTTGACACGGGCGGCCGGCAGGCTCGTGACTTGTAAGGCTAGAGATGAGCTTCTCATGTGCATGTGCACTGAAAGACAGGTGCAAGAGTGTTTGTGGCAGCTTTGTTCCCAATCACCAAAAACGGAAACACCCAAACGTCCATCCACAGCAGGGTGTCGATTATCGTATAATCATATGATAGAATACTATACAGCAGTGAAAAGATCAAACTTCAGATACACGCTGAACAGAATGAATTTCACAGGCAGGGTGCTGAGTAATGGAAATTGGACACAAAAGAGTACATATTATCTGATTCCATTCATCCAGAATTAGTGGGTTGGGGGTGCAGGAGGGGCTAGTTACCAGAAAAAGGCATGAAGGTTTTAGGGGTGCTGGAAATGTTTTAGACCTGTGGTTACTTGGATGCACACATATGTTACATTTCATCAAACACTTAAGATTTGCACACTTTACTGTGAGTTATACTTCAGTTTTGTGGGGGTTTTTTAATTAAGAAAAAATGTTCTAACAGGGAGTCTTATGTATCAGGTAATCGTATAAGATATTGTCCAAATTTGGAGAATCTTAAGAGTAAAAACAAACACTATTAAAAAAGACGCCAGGGCAACAGGCCTAGCCAGGACGCGTGGCCACCCTGCTCTGCTGGACGTGGACTTCCAGGAGCCCCCCCCCCCACCGGCCTAGAAACCAGTCTGTAAAGTCCAGTCACCTCTGGAGCTTTTAAGAATTCCCCCCTTGGGAATATTGCTTGTCTTGGGAATTCTGGGTTATGTGGTCAAGAGTAGGGCCCAGTGTCCGCCTTTTCTCCTCGCCTAACTCCAGGCGGGCCTGACGCACAGCCGGAGCAGGCGAGGCGGCCGGTCTCACGACAGCAGCGCTCCAGCACGGAGGCGCAGCCTACCCCATCGGCTGATAGATTTAAAAACCAGAAACAAGGCTATGTGGGGAAGATCAAGAGGCAGCTTAGTTATGTATGAGTTTGTGTTATTGGGGGGAGGGCCTTCCTGTACATGAACCTGTACCTCAATGTGTATCTTTTATTTCAAAGTTAAGTGCCCTGTTTGCTCATTCTTATCTGCTGAGCTTTTAGCTCTCACACTTAGGTTGGATGTCGTTGATTTTCGATTGCAGAAATCATCTAACAGAGCTTGATTATCCACACAAGGTGACAACCATCCTGGTTTGCCTGGGACTGGCCCGGGCTTTCACCCTGAAAGTCTTACGTCCCAGAAGACCCCTGAGTCCTCCACAAACAGGGCCAGTCACTGGCAGTAAAACACATTACTTTGGAATGGTTCTAGTAGCTACACATGATTTAGGGAAGAGAGATTGTGGATCTGGAAACTGTCGAGAATTCAGGGACATCTCCAGTCCTGGCACTGCAGACACGAGTTTAGATAGTAACTCTGTTCCACATTTCCAAATTCCTTTCCTCTGTGTGCGGGAAGCTCAGCCCCGGGCCACAGTGGTAAGTATGGCTAACAGGCCTGGGACATTCCTGTCTTGCCCAGCTTACTTCCCTTCCTTCCGCAGGCCAGGCTCCGTCCCCAGCCTGAGAAGCCGTCATCAGCGTGCGCCCCCCACTCTGGGAGTTGCCCTGCTTTGGTCTCTAACGGACTTGAAGACTGCCTCTTCACCCACTGTCCATGCATTTTTTAATCCTTAAAAGAAGGTTCACGCTCAGTCTCCTCTGCAAGCCAAATACTTCAAGTATCTGAAAGCACACCCCTAGACCATGCAGAGGATTTTTTTCTAAGCATTATAGGAAGGGGTTTCCGAACAAGGTGATTTCTACTGGTACTTTGCTATAGATTTTGAAAGGATTGGAAAACAAAATGCACAGGCACTACACGCCTCATGTGTGGGCAGTGAGCTAACTAGTAGCCGGTCCCCTTTTTAAAAATACGAACCCCTTTCGATTATCAGTGTATGATGCCCATTTTTCAGCAAAACCTCCTCATTCCACCCACATGCCTAAGAAACTTCACTTTATGCCTGGCAACGGGTCTCAAGAGCCATTCCTGTGTGGCTGAGAAAGCTCACCCCGTCCCCTGAGAGAGAGGTGTGCACTTGCTTGCTGTTACGCTGATGAAGATTCACTGGGAGACACAGTCCCCAGGAGAGATAGCCAGTGGTACTTTTCATGGACACTGTTTCCTGAGGGGCAGTGGCCAGGAAAAAAATTCCTGAACTAGAATCACTTTTCAGAACTGCTTCTAGCCAGCTATGAGACAGCATTTGCCTCTCAAAACCTTAGTTTTCTCATCCATAAAATAAGTCATTTGGACAAAATTATCTCCATGGCTTTCTTTCTGGTCCAAAGTGCTCTAATTTACTGCTTTATTTTTCTTTCATCTTTCATCATTTATTTCTGAGACACAGTTGACAGAATCAAATGTGTGTTGAAAACAAAATAAGGTAACGAATGATTACAATGCAGTGCATATTAGAGATTAAACAAGTCCATTTTTAAAATATGAATAATAAAGATATGCATTGTATTTAGAAATACAAATGGCTGATAACTATATGAAAAGATGTTTAACCTCACTAGCAAGCAGGAAAATTAAATTAAGATTCCATTTCTTCTCCATCAAACTGGTAAAAATGTAAAAGATTGATACTGTCAACTTGGCAAGGATTTGGGGAAAGAGAAGTGCAATAATAGACTTGTTAGGGACAATTTCACATTATCTACCAAAATGTAAAAGTTTAGTAGCCTTTGGCCCAAATCTATGAACCAGTACTACAGAATGGCCATAAATGTTGCATCACTGTGTGTAATTTTTTAAAATTGGACACGAACTAAATGTCTTTCTACAGGAGAGTTGGCTTAAATGTGCTTCCTCCAAATATTAATTAAACGTGTTTGGCCTCCCTTTAGGAATCTGCACATTGGACTTCAGTATTTTAAAAAAATAATAAGTTGAAGTTAATTCTTCTGTCTGCTAAGAACTATAATTTGCATTTGGCATCAACTACTTAGAATGGGTAGCTTCCATCTTTTTTGCATCGGGTGCATAGATCACATTTTTAGGTAGAAGTTTATTGCTCTACTTTTTGGGCTATTCTTTTTTTTTTTTTTTTTTTTTTTTTTGAGACAGAGTCTCGCTTGTTGCCCAGGCTAGAGTGAGTGCCGTGGCGTCAGCCTAGCTCACAGCAACCTCAAACTCCTGGCTCAAGCAATCCTGCTGCCTCAGCCTCCCAAGTAGCTGGGACTACAGGCATGCGCCACCATGCCCGGCTAATTTTATATATATATTAGTTGGCCAATTAATTTATTTCTATTTATAGTAGAGACGGGGTCTCGCTCTTGCTCAGGCTGGTTTCGAACTCCTGACCTCGAGCAATCCGCCCGCCTCAGCCTCCCAGAGTGCTAGGATTACAGGCGTGAGCCACCGCGCCCGGCTCTTTTTGGGCTATTCTTCAGGGTGATAAATCATAAGGGATTTCATAAGGGATCAAGCATGCAAGAAGAGAAACCCTGTCTCTCTGAGTTGAGAGTTTCGTTCATGTCTGCGAGGCACGTGCGTGAGTCAGCCTGAGAACCATCCCGAACAAGCAGAAGAGTCTGAGTGTCTCCCCTACAGGTAATTTCGGTCTGACCTTCAGTATTTCTTGGGGTCAAAGAAGCCACCATGGAAGGGGCAAAAATCCAGGTCAGCTGTAGCACAAGGAAGTCTGAGCAGAAAACGAGCCCATCGGGACAGAGGAAGTGCCGGTGTCTTCTTTAAGTTGAAGGAAGACCGGAGCTCCCCAAAGGCGGCACTGCCCGAAGAAGGAAGAGCCGCTGGCAACAGGGACTCTCAGTCCTCACAAGAGAAGGCAGTCTCTAAACGGAAGGTGAGAAGGCCAAAGAGTTTTGGAAACAACAGTCACTTCTCATACAAAGCACAGACTTTTTAGCTGAAAATGTGCTGCTTTTCCAAGCACATTAAAAATTAACCAAAAGAAGAAATTGTGTTGGGCCCATTCTATTTGGGAAGTTTTATTAACCTGACGTTTCTGAACATACTATTCTCTACATAAATAAAAGAGAAGACAGTCTATCTAAAAAATCAAGCAGAAAGTATTTTTATGGAAATAAACTAGATAGGGATTCTAGGCAGCAGAGCTAATCATTAAATACACACACACAGACAACCGTGGTCACTGCCCACACCAATAACTAACCGCCTTTAACACTCAACATCCTGGATGTTTGAATGTTTCCTCCAGGAACCCAGTGTTTTCACAGACACCATCTCATTTCTGCACACGGCATTCTCAGGATGTTCCTACAGGCAGAAACTATTCCCATTTGGTAACTATAGTGAGATGCCAAAAACCTAACTGACCTGCCCAAGGTCACAGAGCCATCAGCGGGGCCTGCACACCAGGCCTGCAAACAGGCCACACAGGAACTGTCTGTGCCTCTCGGGCACCAATGTCATCGACACAAAAACTATATTTGAGCCTTTCAAAAACCATTTTAGACATGATCTTTCTCCAAACCACACTGTATTAATAATAGAGTTGTCATTTTGGTTCCAAGAACTCGCTTTCATGGTGAAGCGTTCCACAGGCCTCTTCCTCCATCCAAACTGGTTTGCCCAGGTGTCCCAGCTCAACAGGTGGGAGGAAGGGAAAATCTGGGAACCAAGACCTGCAAACAGAGCCAACTCCAGAGTCCAATCATCGCCCAGGCAAGTTTCCCCAACCTGGATGTTAGTTAATCCACTCTGGGCATAGGTCACAACTTTACACTCAGTGTAAACAGCAACCAACCAACGAAATCCCGAAAGCATTTTCTCAATATCCCTCAAAGTCCTCGCTCATTCTACCCCATGAGGCCTTTCAGGATCTAGTCTTGGGTTCTTGGCCCCAGTCGTCTAGAACTGATAGCAGTCAGGGAACATTCCCTGCTCCCTCACCTCTGGGCCTCTGCAGATGCCGAATCTCTATCCAGAAAACACCCTGCTTGGTTCCCTCGTCCACATTGCTCCTTACCCGCCCCCTGTCCCTGATCTCACAGGTGTCTTCTCCCAGGAAGCCCTCCTGGGCTCTCTCAGCTGTGTTTCCATATCACTCGGTATTTCCCCCATCGTAGAACTTAAACGACACCCCACGTGCACTTCCCTGCTAACTTGCCTACAGCCCCTATTTAGACCAGGAACCCCATGAGGACGGGGGCTGGGTCTTCTTTGCCTCTGTAACTCTAGCCCTAGGACAGTGGCTGGCTGTGAATATCGGAAATCAGCAGGCGTGTATGGCTCACCATGGTGGCAGGCCTGAGGATAGGAAGATGAAGAAGTTACACCCTTCGCTTTCAGATAAATTGTAATCTATTAATTCGTGATTTTTTTTTACCTTTATTTCATATACATATAGATTTTTACAAAAACATAGCTACCCAATGGGCAGCTGCTGAGAAGGCACCAAGTGAGCTTTGAAACTGGTTACTAGAACAAGAATGTCCTTCTCTGTGCTAGAAGTGATGTTCCCAAAATGTTTAGACTCAGATCTGGCCTTTAAACTCCTGCTTCATGGGAACAAATAAATAGATGGGAATCTCTGGACCACAAAGAAGCATCATGTCTGCTGTCTTAAGGCTCCCCAGGGCAATGAGATTCCAGAATTGAATCTGATTAACAACAAAATGCAGAGTGAGAAGTGAGAGAGAGAGAGATGGTTTCCTTTCCTTTGCAGCCACCCTTTTCACAAAAGAACTACAAAAACCATGCAGCCTCCATCCTTCTGCCTCTGATCAACCATAAAGGAGCACAGTCCACAGGCCCTTGAATTTATCTTCCTGAGCTGTTCCTAAACGAGTTCCCCTTAGCCCTCCATACCATTATCCTAGTCTGTGGTTCTCAAAGTTGGTCCGGGGACCAGCATCACAGCATCTCCTGAGACCTAGTTAGACATGCAGATTCTCTGGCCCCAACCTGCTCACACCGAATAAGAAGCTCTGCGCTGGGGCCCAGCCCTGGGTGTTTCATGAAGCCCCCAGGTGCTCATGCTGCACACTCGAATTTGAGAGCCACTGCCCACTTCCGTGTCCTCACAGCACTTACCACAAGCTCATTTGTCTTTTTATTTAAATGTCTTGTTTATTTCTTGTCCTCCCTTCCTGGAGGATTTCGCCTCCATGGACACTGGCACCTTGGGATGGGGAAGGGAGAAATTTAAAAAAAAAAAAAAAGAAAAAAAGAAACTGGGACCTTGTCCATGTTGCTCAGGGCTCTGCACCTTCTGAGCGCTTAGAAAGAGGCCATCACATAACAGGTGCACAGTAAATAATTGTCAAATAAACAAACAAATCCTCCTGTTTTTGTTTGTTTTCCCCAATTTCCAAAGAGCTGGCCCTGAACAATCCCAGAAGAAGTTAAACCACCCTTGTGAGTCATCTGGCTGAGACTGGTTATCTGTCAGTGGGTGATAAGGCTCCAAGGACAGGAGATGCAACGGAGCACAGCCTGAGACTGCGCGTGCCTGTGGCCCCGATCCCCAAGGCTGCCGTCTCCCTCTCGGCCGCGCTGGGCTCCCCTCTCCCGCCTTCAGAGGCCCGATGTCACTCCGTAACTGAGACACCTTGGGCTCCCGAATGGCATCAGGCTCACTGAGGAGATGCCCCGGACAGGTGGATCAACTCTCTCCTGCACAGGGAGCCTTCCCTACCTCTGGGCACGAAGCCACTCTGCCCTTCTCCCCTACCTGCCGCGCCCAGAGAAGAAGAAACCTGTCGTCATTACGCGCTACATACAATCCCATCTCCAGGTTTCACTGCAGAATTGTTTGACAAGTTCTTCCTTTATTAGCTGAAGCGGCAGAGAAATAACCATTCATAAAAACGAAGAGAACAGCTTCCTCCTACCGCACGCCACGCTCACTACATCTCGTGTAACCTCTCAGTGAGCCAAATGCATTTTCCTCAGATGAGGATACTGAGGCTCAGAGACTCACACTTCCCAGGCCTTACCCTGAACCTTGACCCCTCACTGGCTCTGACCCCAAAGCCCTCCTTAACCTCTGGCCTCTCCCCTGCGTGGGCCAAGCTGGCCGCAGTATCTCACCCAAATACCTGGGTGGGAGGGAAAGAGAAAATGCAGCTGCAGAAGGGAAGGAGCCGGCTGCCCGCTGCCCGCTGCCCGCCCCGCCCTGCAGGCCGCGCCTCTCCTGCTGGATTTGCCCCGGGCCTGCCGGGGTGGTTAATATTAACCCGGGCGCGGGGCAGCCGTGCCAGGGCCCTGCGGAAAGTGGGATGCTGAGTCACGGCCTACGTGGCAGCGAGCGCGGCCTCCTGGGTCCTCTGGAGCTAAGCGGAAGGGGGCCCTTCTTTCGGGCAAGGGAGGGAAACTGCTGTTCTCAGTTTCTCCGTTGGAAAAGGCCAGGTGGAGGGGCCCCGGCAATGGAAGGAGAGAGGATTCCGAGCAGTTCCGCAAAACGCTTCCCTTGATGGGCTCCCCACTGCTCCCTCTGCCTTGTGGGTGTCCAGAGGACCGACCCACTGCACCCACTCATGCTAACTAACACGCACGGGCAGTAGGGTGCTGTGGCGTGAGGGCTACTGGCACGGCAAGGAGGAGCTCCTTGCACCCTGCACGCCTGCCGAGCCTCAGACCCTCCAACACGCCCCTGCGGACTGCAGACGCCCCAGGTCGCTCTGCCTCTCCACCCCGTCCCCACCCTCCAGCTAGACACTTCCACACACCCAGAGCACAGTCCAGGATCTCAGGCGAGGATGAGGAAGCTGGGCCCCAGGAGCCTTTTCTTCCTGCCCCACGTGCCTCCCACCAAAACTAAGGATGAGCAATTGGTATGGTAGAAATGGACAATTACAAAGAGGAGGGAGAGTAGGACCAACAGATTTTAAGTTATATTGTCCTGAATGGAAGTTTGCCCTGCTCCTTGTGATGCCTCTAAACCGAAAAGACGTGGCAATGCTGAGACAGGCTTGGGGATGTTGGCATGGGTGCAGCCATCCTCTTGGCTCGACCCTGCCAGGAGTGTTAGAAACCTCAGCAAGTTCAAAGAAAGCCACTCTCCATCCTGCGCTAAGGGTGGCAGAGGCTGGAGGTGGAATCGGGGTGGGTTGGGGCATGGGGAGAGCAGGGGGGCAGGGGGGCAGGGGAGAACCCCCACTGGGCAGAGGCAGGGCTGCAGGCGCAGCTGCTGTAAACCCAGCCCTTGGCCACAGCCCTGAAATAAAGCCCTGGCTTTCAGGAGCTGGAACGAGGTAGCTTCTGCTCTGCTGCAACATGCCCGGGTGCTCCGTGCTGTGGGCGCTGGCTAATCGCCCCTCTGATTCACACCATTATTAAACCAGCCACTTGGGCATGAAGGGAAGTCAGCCAGGACCCAGCACTCTGGGCAGACACTGCAGAGTGCAAACTCGAACACACAGATGGGTGGGGAAGGAAACGGTACAACTGCCCAATCCACTCTCTGCCCCAGGTGACAGCTACACGTCCCCCAGAGCAGAGGAAAGCCGTGAGGGGAGAAGCCGAGCTCTCTCTGGACCACATTGGCTTCTGCCTGGAGCCACCATTTCCCATGGCCAGTCACGCCCCGATTCCTGCGCCAGAACTGACCCATCCCGCTGGCCGCCAGCATCCCCGCCAGCCTGTGCCCCAGGTGCGGGTCAGAGCACGCGGCTGACATGGGCCCGCAGTCTGGGTGAGCTGTGCTGGGGGCCCAGATCCTGTCACTCCCTGACCCTGGTTTCGACAGTGGGTTAAAGTTCAGAAGCAGCCTGGTGAAAACATCCCTGCAGATAAGCTGTGCCTTTCCTGGCAGATAACCCCAGCGGAGAGAAAACATTTGACAATGCCTCTGAGCTGCCCTTCCAGCAGCCTGGCCTCGCTAATGAAGGCCTCTAACCAGTCTTTCTGGTACTGATCACCAACTGCAATGGCATTAACAGAATTTGAATACTTTTTTCCAAAATAAACAATAAGCCTGGTGCTTTCTTTTCCATCCCACTTTTTCAAGTGTTCTAGCTTATTTTTTTAGTAAAGCAAAACACAGTCTTCCAAGGTGGTTTTTCTGCTTTCAGGCTGCTCAGGCTGAGCAGGGCTTGGGACCCATCAAGCAGATCCAGGGTGACTCAGCTGATTTACTGAGTCACCCTGAACCCCAGCCGCTGGCAGGATGTGGCTGGGGGCTCTTCCAAGGGCACCTGAACTTTTTCCTCTAGCCTAAAGGTTCAACTGGACCCAGAATCTTTAAGAATTCCATAGCACGGACCATCAGCACACTCAGAGGGGGACTGTGACTAGCGTCAACTAATTTAGACTAAGTGGAGACAGGTTGCACAAATGGAGCCCAAGCCTTCACAAGCCTGCAGTGGAGTTGGGAAGACGAGAGCAAACACAGAAAAGACAACAGATATGCTGAGTATTTGGATCCAAGACATCTCCAGTATGGCCATTGCTTAGGTGGAACTCGAGCTGCTGAGATTTTTAAAAGGAGGCCGTGCACAGAAGACAGGGCAATCGTTGTGGGCTGCAGGTTTGGAAAGAGATCGTGGGACAAAGGACTTTGGAATGGAAAACAGCTGTTGCTCCTCAGGACTCCATCCTACCCTCTTTATTCTTTCTCTTTCTACATACTCCCCCGGGGCAATCTCACCCACAGCTTCAACTACCACCTCAGTTCAGTGACTCACAAATCTTTATCTCCCGTCTAGCCCTTTCTCCTCAACTGCAGACTCCAGTGGTCTGTGAGGTGCCTTCCCTGCATCCCAGCTGGTGACTCTAACTTGCCATCTCTTTTCCCCCCCGTACCTGCTTTGGCTCTTCCCTTACCTCCTACTTCTGTGCACCTACCAAAGGCCATGCCACCCAGACAGCAGGGACTGCCGGACACTCCTCCTCCCCCGCCCCGCGTGCAAGCCCAGGCCCTCATACCTCCTAGCAGACTGCGGGCCAGCCCTGCTCTCCCCCTGGGCGCACTCTGTCTTTGTCTCAGGTCCTCATTACTTCTGTTGCTTTCTACCTGGTCTCCCAGACTCGAGTCTCGGTGCCCTCTGATTTTTCATAGAGGTCATCCTTGCTAAAAGTCCTTCCCTGCTGAATGCACACGAAGCCCTCTCTCCAAAGCATGGCCACAGCAGAGAGACCTGGGCTCAGCCCCAGGGTACCTGGGTTTAGTGTGTGCAGCATTTTGAAATAATGATTTTAAAAGTTTAGCATGCACTTAGAAAGACTCATTAGTTAGAAAAAGAAGCTGCCAGATGGTGCAGATTGTTATTGGCACCCACGGACGGCCATCCAGAGCACCCTGGGTTGGTGTGAAAGTGCTGCTCCCATTGCTGCCCCTGTGCCCGGGTGGTCCTCTGGGCTCTGCCCATGAGACTTTCAAGGTCAGGCCCATCCACCTTGCAGCCTCCAGGTATACCAAGTTCCACCCACACCAGTTTTGAACCACCCGAGGGTGTCGGAGTGGGCCGCACTCTGTCCCGCCCCGGGCCTGAGCCTAGGCGGTTCCCCCTGCTTCCCCTGGTGACTCAGTGGTTCTCAACAAGTGCCCGTTTTTGTCTCCCGGGGCACATTTGCCAACTCCTGGAGACATTTTTATGGACATAACCTGGAGGAGGGAGGGCGGTATCGCAGGCAGCTCGTGCGCAGAGGCCAGGCTTGCTGCCACGCATCCTACGGCAGGCGGGACAGCCCCACAGAGAAGGATTCTCCAGCCCCGGCCAGATCGACCCTCGCGCGACCCTCTCCCCAAACCCCCCTCCTCCAAGAAAGAGAGAAGCAGTCTCTCCGCATCGCCAGCCTCTCCTGCAGCGATTATCACGCTGACGTGACTGTTCACCTCTGAGTCCCTTTCCTGAGCTCCTTGAGGGCGAGGAATGTGTCTTCTTCATCTCCTTATGCCACTGGGACAGGGCACATCATAAGCTTTCGACCACCGACACGCAAAGAAGAAGGTGACTGAGTCTGATCAGGGCCAGAAGTAATTGTACAACACGTCTGAAAACAGCATCTACCCACCAGGATCCACACGCTGTCTCGTTCACACTGCCCTCAGCGACAGTCGGCTTCTACAGACGACCCCATGCCAGTATCACAGACAACATACATTTCAGACATGGATTATTTTTCACTTCTGCTTACACAATAAAATCAGCTGCGAGTCAGAGCATCAAGGTCAAAAGAGTATTTCAAATACCAACCATTGCTCTTCATCAACCACCAAAATATATATCCACACGCCCGCTTAGTGCGCGTGCTGCCATGAGAAAGGTGAGGCCGTGGAGGTAGGCACGTCAGTCGGACGAACAAATTGTTGGGAAGACTGTATGCAAGAAAGAGCCCTCGTTGAAGCTCTGACTCTGGGGAGGAAGGCAACCCACATAACCTAAACATTTGTACCCCCATAATACGCTGAAATAAAAAAAAGAAAGAAAGAAAGAGGCCTCAGAAGTCCTCCCTTTTGGCCACAAAGTAGGTATAAAACATGTGGCAGCAGACCGGGCACGGTGGCTCAGGCTATAATCCTAGCACTCTGGGAGGCTGAGACAGGAGGATTGCTCAATGTCAGGAGTTCAAAACCAGCCTGAGCAAGAGCGAGACCCCGTCTCTACTAAAATAGAAAGAAATTAATTGGCCAACTAAAAATATGTAGAAAAGATTAGCCAGGCACGGTGGTGCATGCCTGTAGTCTCAGCTACTCAGGAGGCTGAGGCAGGAGGATGGCTTGAGCCCAGGACTTTGAGGTTGCTGTGAGTGAGGCTGACGTCAGGGCACTCTAGCCTGGACAGCAGAGAAAGACTCTGTCTCAAAAAAAAACAAAAAAACATGTGGAAGCAAAAAGGCAAAACATCCCCAAAGCAAAGCCTCCCACACAGCTAGCTTCCCCAGGTTCCAGACACCAACTCAAGTCAATTGGCAGGGAAGCCGACGGTGAAAAGGCAAGGAAAATGAAAAACAAACCTGCGTGTGTCCTCGCTGGCTTAACGTGGGTCTCCTGGGGCTGCTCCAGATGCTGGAGCCCACACGCCCCTCTGCCGCTGTGGGCGCAGGTGCCCTCTCTCGAGCGACTGGACACAGAGGGCAGCCAGAGGGAGGGAGCCTGCGACGAGCAAGCGC